TCTGGCTCTTAAATGTTCAAACTGGCAAAGCTTAAACGAGTTTAGCACAGATATCAATGTGTGCTGTTCAGGTCTCACCTGTGCGAGTGAACTATCAGCACCCAGGTGATGACGGAATAAATGACTCATCAGGCTCATATTCCAGTATACGGCATTCGCATTGAACAAGAGTGAATGGTTTGTCCATTTTTTTTTTTTTCCCCCCCATCGCTGTTGTCGTAATGTATTGGGAAGCCAGAATGCGCATTCATCAACAGAAACATATATTAGCTGAACCCTGTTTGTTTTACGTGTTATTTATAGCAAACCATATTACAGATGCATTGTCAGATTTAAGTTGAACCACGGTCCTAGCGCATGGCGAACCGTTTGTGGCTACCATATGGTTAGATTTTTTTCCACGAACCATTCTACCCCTAATATATATTATTATATATATATTAGTACGATATATATATATATATATATATATAGATAGATAGAGAGAGAGAGAGAGAGAGAGAGAGAGTAAGATTCAGTAAGGATGCATTCAATTGATCAAAAGTGAGAATAAAAGACATTTATAAAGATTTCTATTTCAAATAAATATTTTTTTCTATTTAGCAAAGAATCCTTAAAGAAAAAAAAAATTTCACAACACAACGGTCCTCAACATTGATAATAATAAATGTTAATTTAAGCAGCAAATCAGCATCTCAGAATGATTTCTGAAGGATCATGTGACACTGAAGACTGGAGTAACATACATTAGCCGAACACTGTTTGTTTTATGTGTTATTTATAGCAAACCATATTACAGATGCATTGTCAGATTTAAGTTGAACCACGGTCCTAGCGCATGGCGAACCGTTTGTGGCTACCATATGGTTAGATTTTTTTCCACGAACCATTCTACCCCTAATATATATTATTATATATATATTAGTACGATATATATATATATATATATATATAGATAGATAGAGAGAGAGAGAGAGAGAGAGAGAGAGAGAGAGTAAGATTCAGTAAGGATGCATTCAATTGATCAAAAGTGAGAATAAAAGACATTTATAAAGATTTCTATTTCAAATAAATATTTTTTTCTATTTAGCAAAGAATCCTTAAAGAAAAAAAAAATTTCACAACACAACGGTCCTCAACATTGATAATAATAAATGTTAATTTAAGCAGCAAATCAGCATCTCAGAATGATTTCTGAAGGATCATGTGACACTGAAGACTGGAGTAACGATGCTGGAAATTCATCACAGGAATAAATTACATTTTAAAACATACTTAAATGCAAAATAGTTATTTTAAGTCGTACTCATATTTTCAAAATATTACTTTTTTTTTTTTTTTTTTTAAACAGTATTTTTGATCAGATAAATGCAGTCTTGGTGAGCATAAGAAACTTTAAGAATTATTTAAAATCTCACTAACCCCAAATGTATATGCTGCAGTTTATATTAATAATATGCAACGAAATACAAAGGCAACAACAGCAATAATAATAATAATAACAACAAGAATATATTTTTCAATAATAGTATATTTTGTTTTGTTTTTTTAAATAGTTATTATTATTGGTATCATGGGCTTTTAACTCTATACATATTAAAAATACTTGCATAGCTTGTGGCTTGTGTCTAGTCTGTCTGAAAACAGAAAACACAAATTAAGGGTGTACAGCAGGGTCAGACTACAGCCAGGTACCGTCCGGGTAAAATGCTCGAAATAGAAACGCTCGCAGTGAGATAGACAGTGACGCATCTCTCACACATCTGGGCTACTAGAGCGTGTCATAGTTCGCACCCACCGGAATCAGACGGTCACTTGGGGTGACAAGACTGGCACTGGGGCAAAGGGCCATTTGCGAGACTGCCCGGTCCATCACTTAGAGACACAAACGCCAGCTTTACTCCATTACAACTCACAGTACAGAACGGTCTACTCTGAGCTTGAGATATGCCTGAAAGGACTTCAACAAGTGCGCTAATTGGTGTACTAAAGCGACCAACAATAGCTAATTTGATTTTACTAATTCTCAACAGAATTCATCATTGAGGAACTGATCTAAACATGCTGCAACAAATACAAGACCAGTTTTGTAGACCATAAAGATGACACACGGGTTTACAAATACTGTCATGATTCATTGCCATAGGTCTATCATTATAGCCGCCACCTATCTCTGACTGACAAGAGGACGTCTGAAGTGATATAGCTGATAAAGAGGTTCAGTTAGAGAACAAAATCAGGGATCAGATTAAGGACACGGGCAGGAGAGAGGCCCAAGAGAAGGACAAGGAGAAAGAAAAAAGAGGCACCTCTGCTTGTGTCTGTCACTACAACTTTAAATCAACAGCTCTTCTGGATGTGGCCGTTCAAACAGCCACTGATGCTACTGAGAAAGTTACTACAAAAATCGACTGGATATGTATTACCAACTCAAATTTTTGTTGTTTTTCATTTTTAATCCAAAAAAATTTTAATTTAAATACATTTAAAAAAAAAATTTTTTTAATTCTAACAATTTCATATAATAACTACACTGCAGTTCCTAATAAATCCGAACTGGGTTTAATTATGCAACAAAGCAACTTTTTTTTTAGCATTTGAGACTTGGTGAGTGTTAATTTTGGACCATGTTGGAGCTTTTTATACAGGGTCCTGAGAGGACATTGCTACAGGCCGTATAAAAATGTCAAAAACGATCATCATTTTCCAGTTTTTCTACAGCTTAGTTACTAACAGTATTATATGAGTGCGCAATAAAAGTAGAGAAGAGTTGCAGCCCTTTGTACAGAGTCCTGAGGGGACATGACTACAGGGTGCACAATAAAACACAATCATCTTTTTCTATCTTCGCATGGTAACAGCAGTCAATAAAAGAACAGAAACACCAAAAATGTACATGGCTAAATTGTATTAGTGCAAGCATAACTATGTAACGTAACTGACATACAGTAAAGTCCAAAAGTCTGACATTGAAAATCAGGGACTCAAAATGAAATTTAAACCTAAAAAAATAAACGGCTTTAAGATTTGGAAAAATGGAAATGTTACAATGTAAAATTTAAGTAAATGGATGACATCATGTCATTTGCTTTTAAAGGGGTCATATGATGGGAAACATTATTTTGTGTATTTGGTGTAATGAAATATGTTTATGTGGTTTAAGATAAAAAAAAAACATTATTGTTTCTCCAGAAGCGTGAAAGCAACTGTGTCAAAGGGAGGCCACAATAAAAGAGCTACAACAGAAATACAATAGAGCTACAGATGACCAACAACGAGCCTTCAATGACACAGCGAGTCTACAGTTAAGATACAAATGAGATAAGGGAGCAATAAAAGTGAAAAAGATCTGTAGCCAGGGTCAAAAATCGACTGGATATGTATTACCAACTCAAATTTTTGTTGTTTTTCATTTTTAATCCAAAAAAAATATTTAATTTAAATACATTTTAAAAAAAATAATTTTAATTCTTACAATTTCATATAATAACTACACTGCAGTTCCTAATAAATCCGAACTGGGTTTAATTATGCAACAAAGCAACTTTTTTTTTAGCATTTGAGACTTGGTGAGTGTTAATTTTGGACCAGGTTGGAGCTTTTTATACAGGGTCCTGAGAGGACATTGCTACAGGCCGTATAAAAATGTCAAAAACGATCATTGTTTTTCTACAGCTTAGTTACTAACAGTATTATATGAGTGCGCAATAAAAGTAAAGAAGAGTTGCAGCCCTTTGTACAGAGTCCTGAGGGGACATGACTACAGGGTGCACAATAAAACACAATCATCTTTTTCTATCTTCACATGGTAACAGCAGTCAATAAAAGAACAGAAACACCAAAAATGTACATGGCTAAATTTTATTAGTGCAAGCATAACTATGTAACGTAACTGACATACAGTAAAGTCCAAAAGTCTGACATTGAAAATCAGGGACTCAAAATGAAATTTAAACCTAAAAAAATAAACGGCTTTAAGATTTGGAAAAATGGAAATGTTACAATGTAAAATTTAAGTAAATGGATGACATCATGTCATTTGCTTTTAAAGGGGTCATATGATGGGAAACATTATTTTGTGTATTTGGTGTAATGAAATATGTTTATGTGGTTTAAGATAAAAAAAAAACATTATTGTTTCTCCTCTATGGCCCGCCTTTCTGAAACGCATCGATTTTTACAAAGCTCATCGGTCTGAAAAGTGAGGTGTGCTCTGATTGGCCAGCTATTCAGTGCGTTGTGATTGGCCTAATACCTCAAGCCTGTGACAGAAATTTTATGCCCCTCACCATACTGTGATGGCACGTCCGGCCGGAGAGACGAGAAAAAAAACATGAAAACCCATTATAAACGAGGCATTTGTTGCATCAAGTGTCCTCTTTTGGAAGGCCAAACAAAGTAGTTTCGCTTTCACAGCGAAACACAGAGTCTTCACAACATGGCGGCGACGGGGGCAGCAACAATAAAGTTACGCCTTCTTTCTTTGCGTGAACATTATGCGGCGTCATGCAAATCTTCCCACATCGTGACGTAGATGTGGGGACGTGTTAGAACGCGCCGTTTTAGGAGGGCGTGGACCAGTCTTAACTTTTATAAAGAATATCTCTTTGGGTTTGAGACTTTAGTCTTTGCAAATTTAGGGATCTTATCTATTCACGAACAGCTTGCAACACTCCAAAGAGAAAGGAAAACTTGAAATTGCATCATATGACCCCTTTAATGAAGCACAAGATGCTCTTTGGATCATTTTTAAAATCACACTGGATAACATGATCATCAGGTTTTGTGGAGCTCATGAAACTGTAGTGCTGCTGTCAATAAAGCAAAAAGGGACAAACTAGATAGTAAGACATTCTGAAATTTATGTTCATTTTCAATTCGATAAAAAGGCAAAACAGAAGCATTTTCTCTAGTGGTCTCAGACTTTTGCTTCCTAATGCATGAGTTCAAAGGGGTTCAAACAAACAAACACAAATTGATATATTATTCTTGTGTCTTACCTTTTAGCTGATCAGTAACACTGTGCCCGACACGTTCCATCACTTGTCCATCCTCCCTCTCATAACGGTCATCCAAAAAACTTGCTGTGACCTCCGACAAGTGCACCTTTCCTGCCACACCCAGCTGTTCCATAAGATTGGCCAAGTTGACATCATTGGACCAAACGTCAAACTTAAAGCGCTTCATTCCCAGAATACCACAGAGCACGGTGCCGGTGTGCACGCCGACACGCATGTCCACAGTCTCCGACGTCTCCTGGCAGAACTGCTCGATGGCCTGGATCATCCCGAGCCCCATGTCCACACAGCAGTACGCATGATCGGTGTGTGGCTCAGGGCAGCCCGCCACGCAATAGTAGCAATCCCCAAGAGTGCTGATCTTCTCACAGCGGGTCAACTCACACAGACGGTCAAATCGACCAAAGAGGTCGTTTAGCAGTCCTACCAGTGCAGGGGCGGACTTGTTGGCACTCATTTTGGTGAATCCCACGATGTCCGCAAAGAGGATGCTCACCGGCTCCATGCGCTTCATGTTGAAGGGCCTGAAAATAATTTGTCCGCGAGGGATAGAGTTCTTCTTACGTTTGTTGCTTTTGGGGCTGGACGAGGTCGTGGCAGATGCGGGGGCGACGGAGCAGGTACCTGCACTGTATCGTTTCCCAGAGCTCTCACTTTCCTCGTCTCCTTGCTTCATGAGCTCGTCTGCCACCAGCCGGGGCATCACGGAGTGGATCATCCGCTCCTTAAGCGCCTTCTCGACCTCCAAGCCCTTCCCGTGCATGATTGCCTGACCTACCTTGAGAAAGGTACTCCGAGAGCGCACTTCAGACATGATGAATATGTGGATGCCAATGATATGCGCGCACAGGTGCAGCAGAACTTTACCTAGGCCAAGCCAGCTCAGAGTATGCAAGTCCGACCCTACATAGCTATCGTCCATCTGAGCAAGGTGCAGCCAGCCTAAAGCCTCATAGAGGACAGAATACAGCAGGCCGAGAAGCACCGACACATACAGGGGCAAATGCAGCACACTGTACAGCAAAAGCAGCACCTCTATACAGAGGGAGAACGTCCCAACGGGTGATATACATGGAGCATTTTGAGACGTAGGTAGTAGTGACTGATTGCTTGTTTTTTGGACATCAAAATGAGCAAAGTGAGCAGTGTGCGTTTGAGGCGCCAGGGTGATCCCAAACATGATCACTGTAAGTAGGAAGGATGTGTGGTTGTAGTAACGTGCATATGGCCTTGAGAACGTAAACCAGAGGAGGAGGAGGCACAGTACAAGAAACCCTGCCGTGGGGACCAGGAAGTTTGTAGGGTCACATCTGGTGCTATTGATCCCAAAGTATATCCCCCACAGGAGCGCAGTGGTGGCCAGGTAAAACAGGATGTAGCGGAACCTTCTCTGCATCTGCGGGAAGCAACGTTCCCTGCACGCCTCCTCCAGGATGGCTGAGTTAAACTTGGGGTCCCAGCACTGTGCGGCAGACCTCTCAAACAGCGGCGGCACTCTCCTCGGACTGCTCAGACGAGTCATCATAGCCCTGGGAACACCCAACTCCCCCGAGCTGCAGCTTGACGAGATACTGTATTTGCAAGGTTTGGAGGAAACCATGTTGACAGGGTCACCCTCCTTGCCTGGACCCACCTGTTGATTACGGCTGTCAGTTATCCGCACAGTAACAGCTCCACCTTCGCTATCACACCTCACCTCCGTCTCGTGCAGTGGCTGGTGCTTCTCTGGCAATGACATGGTGATGAGACAACAACTGACTGTTATTTAACACATATCACCTACTGCTGACAGTACAGAGGGAGTGGCACTTGACATGGATTCGAATGAAAACAAAAAGCACAGTTTGTATTAGAAAAAGAATCCAGCCAGAAGTAAATTCCAAGTGCATTCACTATGAAGATGAACCGTCTTGGACTCTTGAGCAATTCCTTATCCGTGCTGAGATTACTTCAGCACTCGGATTCCATTCTAATCTAAGGCTCAGTGGCGCCTGAATGCGCATGCGTGTACTTTTGCTCCGTACGCGCGGCCGACACTGACGCACCGTCATCCGCTCGATCCTGCTTTTTTGAGCACATCGCTTTAAACACGAATTCAACACCACGTGAGCATGTATCGTTAGAATCAGAAAAAAAAATTTGGGAGGTAAGTTCACATAGGGTGTGTTCTGAAACGGCCCGCGCGGCCGACACTGACGCACCGTCATCCGCTCGATCCTGCTTTTTTGAGCACATCGCTTTAAACACGAATTCAACACCACGTGAGCATGTATCGTTAGAATCAGAAAAAAAAAATTTGGGAGGTAAGTTCACATAGGGTGTGTTCTGAAACGGCTTTTAAATTAGTTTTTTTTTATCCAGTCAACGCTGTCCCTCAAGCACCCTCTCCAATGCTCGACAATGTTTGAATTTACTTTCCCTTCCCAAATGACATGCAAAGGTAATACAAGTTTATATTTCATATTTCCAAATGCCAGATTTCACACATTTCTTGTACTCGGTTTCAGGTTGAACTCGGCAAACACCAAACTTAACGGTCGCTGTTTTTCAAAGAGTATAGCTGCTTAAAAGGCGCCAGTTTCTGAGAGAATTTTTGTAAATGCGCCACTTTTCTCTTTATGTGGTCAAAGAACACAGAAAACGTATTCAAAAATAACTAACAATGTATTCCTTTAGGTTCTGACATCACGAAGTAGCGAGAATCGTCCTTATACTGCGTAAACTAAAGGAAAACAAACGCCTGAGACGGTAAGACGTTAAAGCTGCCCGTGTTTTTTTCGTCAAAACTCAAGGCAGACTCCGTCCCTGCCCCGTCGAGGGTCAGAAGACGGCCTATTCCCACGGAGGAGCCCCGTCCTTTCCTGAACACCCGCTCCGGATGTCAACCGTGAGTACTCCAGCTCTCAAGCGCATTAAAACACTCGGGTGGACGTGACAACCTCAAATGGCATCAGCCGTTCGCGAGCATATCTGCCGACTCCAGAAGACCAATACTGAAGATTTCAACTTCCAAGAAGAAAATACTGATGGCATCGAGGCACTCTGACAAGTCAAAGTGTGCTGAGGGAAAGTATATCCTTGTTTGTGTGTAATCCCTTTTAACCAGTTACTTGGAGGTAATCTCAAAACATTTCAGTGCAGTGTTAAAAATGAAGACTAAAGTTTTTTGGGGGGGTTTTCCCCCAGGCCTCAAGTCGTTTGATCGGGCTGGCAGTTCAACACTCGCGGAGTTCAGAGGAAGAATGAGCGCTCACACTCCAATGCTTAAAATCGCAAGCCAGCGCTCCAACACTGTCCGCTTCTTTAATCCCCACTTTGTCCGTTTAGCATTCCTCCAAAACTCCGTTCAAGTCCGCTAGTTTTCATGGGCAAGCTCATGCCAGGCGAACGCACCGCACAGTCCTCTTTGCGTTCGCTCTCGGTTCTCCTCCCCGTCTGCACGAGCCTGTTGAAGGGGACGGCGGTGTCGCGAGAGCCGGGCGGCTTCAGGTAGGAGTTGAACACCGCTGGTTGGCGCTTTACCCGGGCGCTGCGTTCACGAGCACCACCACCATGTTCTGAGCACACTCGGAAAAGATGGTTGTGGGCGTGCGGTGGGGTGGACAACTTGACTACAATGTTGAAATTAAGGGAGGAGGGGGCAAGTCGCTGGGGAGCGCGCACGCAGGGCTCTTTAACGGCGGCGCGCACGCATGAGAACGTCTTGGCGTGGAGTTCATGTTGTCATCAAAAGAACAGGTACGTTTAGTATAATTGTGGCTCTATTTATTCTCTGTGTAATTCATAACTGTTATAGAAGTTAGTATAAAATAAGAAAGTTTATTAAATAAACTTGAGTGTACTAAAATGTCAATATGTAACAATGTTTTTTTTCTTTTTCATTGTATTCCTTTCAGAATGTGGCATCAAATCTGACCATCCTCAAAGGTACTCGAGGTAATTAGATATATACACACACACACACACATATATACATATATACAACATGCAATTGCCCATATATACAAATAAAGAGTAAATCCTGACTTTCAAAAAAGCAAAAGCTATTTTCTTCAGGGTTATTCTTAGTCTGTCGTATTTATAATTGACTTCATTTAAAAACAATAGAAGTGTAAATGGTTGAATGGTATGTTCCCATTTAGAGAAGCATAAGTGTGTATGTGTTTCTTCATCTAGGAACATACCTGAGATTCTGGGTGCGTCTTGACCTTTGATCTATCAGATAAATCACATCCAAGTGATAATCCTCCCACGCTTCCTGTGTCAGATGTGCATCATGTCCAGTTTCTGAGACGTTGTGTTGTGTCAGACGGGAAAAGTTATAACACAAGAGTGCGTTCAGGAATTTGACCGACACCAGCCTGTGGAGTCGTCATGCATACGTGTACAGCTTTTATTTCTTAGTGGCTACTTGTGGTCTCTGACTCAAAAAAACAGAGCTGTGGATTATTAAACAAACAAGAGTATAACTAGCTCCACAGTATTTAGCGCAAATCTCTTATCGGTTGTGTACTCGGGCTACTACTTTATTGCAGATATTACAACATTCACACTTCTAACCCTTCTAAGAATCATAAATACTTAAAAGAAGTGAGCTTTCATGTGGTGTTGCTCTATAAAATGTTTTACACAAATTGCCCTGTTTGAAACTGTATTTTGTATAGATAAATGCATAGATTGCTGCTATCAAAATAGATAAACAGATAGCTGACATAAACTGTACTTTTTATGAGACCAAAGGTTACGTCATTGAACGGTGATCACTATTTTTATCGCAGGGAGTTAAATGATATGCTGCGCCATCTAGTGGACATTTTAGATCCTCATGTTGAAGTGAATCAACTGCAGCTGCAAAATCGTTATCATTTGTCTCACAATTCATCCACGTATTTATTCTACTTTTTTTATTGACTTAAATATCCAGTTGAACGTTTAATTTCCATATTGGGTAACTCAAGAGTCACAAAAACAATTTAATGTCACCACAGTTGAAACATGCAAGAATGTGAACAAACGCAACAAAATGTATCATCTCATTTACCAACAACTCATACACCAGTAATTTGTACAAAGGAATATGATCAATATGGAACTGAAGTAATGAAGTCAAGATAAACGTTCTACCACATACGGCATATTCACGATGGAAGCCGGTTTCTACCACGGCATAAAGAAAAAATTAAATAAAAAAGGTAATTTTGACATTTGAGCTCACATTTCAGAGATATAAACTCAATTCTGAGAAAAAAAAAAGTCAGATCTGCAACATAGACATCGAAGATATGAAGACTTTTTTTCAATTCTGGGTTTTTATCTACCAGTTCTGACTTTTTTTCTCAGAAGTATTTATAAGAATTGTGTATATAAGTATATAAGAATTGTGAGGTAAAAATCCTGTGGCAGAAACAAGCTTCCATAATTCACACTTTTAAAACGACATTCAAACAATAAATAAATAAGATTATTTCTTTTGAACAGGTATAAATAAGTAAAATGTTTGCAAGCTGATTTAAATTGGAACAAAAAAAGAAAATGAATAACACAAAAGGAAGAAAAATAGGGCACTGCTTCCCTTCATTCAGGTCTGTTTTATACAGAGTGGTAAAAGTCTCTGTACACACACTGTGTTTAACTGGCTTTCCATTGATTTGAATCTCATCTAAGTATCACTTATAGTCTCTCATCCATCCATTCATTGCTTTGGTGCCACTCTTCCATATTTCCCACCATTCTTCTATTACGGTCTCCTCCAGCGGTTTTGGGGTTTCTCCTTGGTTTCTACAGCTGCCTCTGCCTTGGCTTCCCGTTTCTCTGCCAGACTGCTGAGCAAAGCTGGCAGGTCATCTGTGATGGCCTTCTCGATCTTCTCCAGCAGGCATCCGCCTGACCAGCTGCAGTATGAGGAGAGGAGCTTAAAGCCACTGGGAGGATTGACTCCAAAGAAGTCCCGATACGCCTCCGGTTCTGGCAAGTCGAACTTACTCACATTGGTCTTGGCCAGAATGGACTTGAAGATGTAGAATTTGTCAGGGTCACTGACAATATCGGTGAAAACCTCATGTGGGTCACTAAACCAGCCCAGCTTCTCATAATACGTCTGCAGGTAGCGGTCGACCAGGAGGGCATGGATGCGCACGCGGATGCCATGTTGCCGAATGAAGGCGATCTTGTTTTCTAGACGATTCTCGATTACCTGATTTAGGTCCTCCAGCAAAGAGATCTCTTCACGTTTAAAAAGGTCTCTGTTGGTGTCCGGAGCGTAATCCTGCAGCCAAAATGAGCTCACGTAGACGCGTGGTGGTTCTGTCACGTTAATCAAGGGTGCCATGCTCCAGAAGAGGGCGCCGTACACGCGCATTAGGTCCTGGGTTGTTAAACTGTCAGCCTTGTTGAGGATGATACGGATTTGTGACTCGCGTCCCTTCATCTGTCTGAACAGCATTTCTAGTTCTAATCCGACATCCAGTTTGGTTGGGTCAAACACCAGGAAGATGAGATCAGCACGGTCGATAAACCACTGGCAGACTTCGCTGTAGGGGTACCCTAAAATACAACAACAGAGTTTTAAATGTGTACAAAGCCAGAATGTTTTAGTTATACTAAATATTTGTTCTTATATGTCAGGGTTGAAACTGATTCTTATTAGGGGTGCTCGGATCAGGATTTTTGAGGCCAATCGCCGATCACAGAAAGCAGTATCTGCCGATAACAATCACCGATACCGATATTTTTAAAGCCTTTTTATCATTTATAACTATTTATAGTGATACTCCAATGAACCTGAATTTTTATTTTTGAAAACGGGGGGGAATTCCCCTCTTAGGTGACTCTTGTGAGAGGAGAAGCCACTTTCACACAGGAGAACGCTTTTTTTCTCTCTCTTACGTTATCACAAACTTACCATTGACAGAAATGGTCAGCTCTACTGCCTTTCCTTTTGCATTGAATTCTTTATTACAAGCAATCCTGCAGTCACTTTGTTTTCCTACTTCCACAAGTGTCATCTATTTTTGCCTTGTTTATCTAAAAGGGCTCTTTCCCTTTAAACCTAGCCAAAAAGCCATATGTGTTGACTGTGAAACACAGTAGACTTTATATAATATGCATTCATGGTGTAATTACTACATTTTCGTGTCAATCCATGTTCATATTTACTGCAAACAATGCCCTGTTACTTTAATTTAGGCTTGCAGCTCAGCAAAAATAGACTCGTGCCTAAACGATCTCTGCACTGCAGCAGATGCACCGCTCCTGAACGCACTGCCAGACCGCAACCGTGTGCAGTGAACGCTTTAATCCGTTAACATGAGCGCGGAAAAAATACGCACCACGTGTGCATTGCAAACGGAGAAATGTGAACCTGGCTTTATGTGTGTGCGCTGCGAGTGTGCATGAGCGCTGAATGGTTAAACAATGGCAAGAATTAAAAAGAAATGCAATTTATAAACTTTAGTGACGATGCCACACTGCCTCGACTGTGCAGCTCGCTTGTAGACAGAAGCGATGTGTGGTGATTTGAAGCCATTTGCGTATTTTGAGAGAGAAGGCGAGAGAGAGCGCGTGTGCGGTGATTCACTCGTGCTGTTTGTGAAATTACGTCTCACACAAGGTTTTCGAATGACTTTATAAGTTATTTAATTAAGAAATATTATAATTATTTCACTCGGGCCGGACAGAGATGGTGCCGCTGCATGTCGTGCCAAACCTCTCACGGCAGCGTCATCAGCTTGAGATCAGTTTTTTTGAGATCGACCTTTTTAGAGACCGCCGATCAGTCATCCCAACGTGATTATCGGCCGATAGCGATCGGTAGCCGATCAATCGGAGCACCCCTAATTCTTATGCACTAGCCAATTCTGGGGAAATGCTATATATTAATAACTACTTATTCAGTGGTGCTACAGAACCACTAGTGAATATACAGTGTAAAACAAACAGCATGACCAATGAAGTACTGTTTTTTTTCTATTTTAAAATGATGGTAAAATTAAATTTTCAGCATCATTACTCAAGTCTTCACGGTTGCATGATCCTTCAGGAATCATTCTAATATGCTGATCTGCTGCTCAAGAAACATTTCTTATTATTATCATTGTTTAAATCAGTTGTGCCGCTTAATATTTTTGTAAACTGTGATGCATTTTTTCAGGATTCTCTGATAGAAACTTCAAAAGAACTGTATTTATTGGAAATAGAAATCCTTTGTGACATTATAAACGTCTTTACTTTCACTTTTGATCAATTTGTTCATACCAAACTCTTTTTTCGAGTCTTTGTGAATATTGTATTCTCACCTCTCTCTTGTTGTTTGCGGTTCTCAATGATTCCAGGCGTGTCCACAAAGGTGACGCGCTCCAAGAGTTTGTGCGGCATCTCAATTCCAACCAGCTTTTCCAGAAACCCCTGGCCAAACCTCTCCAGTGGTGAGAAAGAGCGGGAACTGTCTGCCGCCATGACAATGCCCTCAATGGTACGAAACTTCTCACCATGCATCAGTACAGTGTATTCTGAGGTTGTGGGCTCAGCTCCTGAGAGAAGGCAAAAGAGAGTGAGATGAAGGAACATATAATTAATATTTAATTGTATAACAGCTCATTTCATTTTACAATCATTCATTTGATGATTGATTGCTTACCAGTGTAAAGCTGTTGTGAAGTGTCATCGAGACCCAGAAGATAATTGATCATGGAAGACTTGCCAACACTCCAAGGACCCAGGAACAGGACCATGGGCTTAGATGTGATCTCTGCATCTGAACAATGTGAAGAAAACAGAGAGTTCAACTGAGGATAGTTCATTTAGATCCTTTTCATGGTAGAAGAGCAGTAGTCTGGAATGATGTTTTAAAACTGAATCCAATATCAAAAGATGTTACCTGACACTTCATGCTGCCTGAGCTCATTGTATTTGTAGGCCTTGTCCAAGGGTTTAATTGCAGTGTTGTAGACATGCTGCAGCTTCTTCAGAGCATCTATGAGAGGTAGAGTTGATGAAATTATGTTAGAAACTGACTCATTCTGCTACTTCAAAAGTTACCTATTTACCATTCGGAGATTTTGGTGAAGCTAAATTGCGATTGGTTAATGAAATAACTGGCCTCGTATGGTACATACTTTATTGCCCAGAAAGGTAATACTTTCTTCTTTTTTCATATATATATTTTTTATTTTCATTATATGACTCACCAACAAATTCCTTTGAAGGTTCAGCTGTTGCCAGACGCAGCGTCTCTTCAATGTGAGACTGATCTCTTGTGGCAGGACCTGAGGGGGTTGTTTTCTCCACTGCCAGAGAAAAACAGCCAATCAAAATTCTAAATTAGCATAAAACATGAAGCTCATATCATCATAACATTTTCTTTCTTGTGGACACACAGAACAAGGTTATTATTATTTTGCATTTTAAAAATGTGTAAAATACTATTTTAAAAATGTACTTTACATTTCACTTTCTAGGTAAACCTTTTCGTTTTATTTTGTGGACATATTTCTAAATTGGTTCCATGTAATTTATCTTTATTTTTATTATTTCCAGCTAAGAAGTCTGTTGTGGAATCAACCGAACATTGCCAGAATTTAGATTTACATCTGAAGTAAACAAGATCTCTGAGGAAAGAAGCTGCATCTGTATTTACACAAGAATCACAATCACAGGAAACAATGTATCAGCTCAATGTGTTGCTTGTTTATTTTAGTGCGCAGCTGACCTACACAAATGGTGATGTTCTAGTTATGGTTTCATGCTGGCACGCTAGTTTCAGCCATATTATCTGCATCAGTGTGATGTGTTCTACCCAACAGATATACACTTCCATTTTTGTTGATTGTCATTTCAGTTATTTTTCTTATTGCCGTTTTAGTTTAGTTTTATTTTTTTCCATTATTTATTTTTATTTATTATTTTACGTTTACATACTTTTTTTCAATCAATAGTGTTTAACTCAGTTTTCAAAAATAACCAGAATACAGCTGTCATGTTGGATCCATCTACTGTGACATGTACATCAACCATCTATTTGAAGCCAGTCAAGCACGATCAATGTTCTATTAAAAGCATCTGAAACATTTCTTCCCTATTACAAAACTGTCCTCCATGCAGGCCAGAGAACATATTGTTATGAATGGCAATGGACTTGTGCCAGGGGTTATTTCTGTTAGGTTATTTTGATGGTGGGTTTATTCCTGTGCCACCTTCGACCAAAGTATCAGGTGGAGAAACACGAGGAACTGACTTCACAATAGTGTCCAACTCTGCCCCCTGGCGACGGGACAACAATATAGCTCCTCTCTGGTTGTTTCCACTATAATTGGCTTTAACAAGTGGCTTTATGATGATTCTGAAGCTTTTAAATATATTCACTTT